TATTTCCCCACGAACTGCCTTAGAGAAAGGTATAGTTTCTTAAAGAGAAAAGAAGCTATACTTACCTCTTGGACACCACATATACCTACGAAAGGATTTCCTGTGCCGTGTTGTCGTTATAGAGTAAACTAAGAAGGCTTTATTCTGTAACAATACTAAGTAAATCACTCTTTGGCTTTTAACAAAAGTTGTAGAGCTCATTAAATTGTATTCAATATTGCAAAAATATTAAAATTAGCCTAGTAGTTTTTGAAAATTTTTTAAAAACTTCTTTTTTATATTTAAAATTTTTTTTTTTTTAAAGAAATTTTAAATGTAAAAAGAAGTTTTTTAAAGATTTCTCAAGAAATACCAGGCCAATTTTAATATTCTTGCAGTATTAAATACAATTTGATAAGCTCTACAACTTTTGTTAAAAGCCAAAGAGTGATTTATTTATTATAAAAAAAAGTTTTAAATAAAAATGCTGTGCATTTACACTTATAGTAAAATTTATATATAAAAAAAAAATTTTAAACCAGATACTGGTGAATTATCTATTAAAACTAAAAAAAATTCTACAATATTAATTGGTAATTTATGAGTTAGCCAAAGAGTGATTATAGTAAAATATGACTCAGATTACTTATAAAAATTAGGGGGTTGCAAATATGGCCTATATGAATTTAAAACTTTTTTTTATATATTGTTAATCATTCTTCTGATTTAAGAGATTTTTGTAAAGCTTGTCAAAATATATTTAATAGTAGTTAGACTGTCAAAATTAGCCTAGTGAGTGCTGAGATAAGGCCAATTTTAACATTTTAATCACTATTAGATGCATTTTGAAAAGCTTTACAAAAGTCTTTTAAGTCAGAAGGGTATATAAAAAAAAGTTTTAGATTTGTGCAGGCCATATTCGCAACTTTTTAATTTTTATAAATAATCTAAGTTATATTTTACTATGATTACTCTCTGGCTGACTTGTGGATTACCAATTAATTAGATACTACTTTACTTTTTTTAAGTTTGCTAAAGTGTTATATTATTTGTATATACTAGACCTGCTATTTAGATTATTTTTTTTATTTATTTCTTCTTATATTATTTTGATTGGTCACTCTGTCTTGCTTTGGCTTCTTATATATATATATATATATATATTTTCAGTGTTAAGGTGACCTCTTTGTCAACGGTAATTTATTATTATTAAGTATTATTTCAGTATACAATGAGAGTACATATAGCTATACATGCATCTTTTGAGTGCCTAATTTAAGTAGTCCACTCGAAGGTTCTACACTATCTGCCATACCTGTACCCCAACTAGGGGGTATCCATTTAAACCCTCTGATCATATCTTTACTTCTACCATATAGGACTTAAACCCCGGGTGTAACCTCACCATTTGCACCAAGTGTTATGGATCTATACGACACTACCAGATTAATAACCAGACTTAGGACAGAACTGTATATCCTGATTTATTCTTGAGGTAAACCTGCCAGAGTGATACATTCCCATATATGTATTTACCTATACTTCAGTAACTTATGTCATGCCTTAGTTTATGTACTTGGGGTCAGAGCTAACCATTGAACCTCTACTATTATCTACTTCTACTCTTTTAAGGTTCACAGATTTCTGTACTATATTCCATTACTTTTTGCACCCTACTCCTTTTGGTATCATCATACTTCCAAATTTAGAAGGCCCAGAAGGATTGGTCTGCTGGACCTGAGTTTCCCAGGCTTAGATCTGGTAGTCAATCCCTGGTCTATGATTTTATAGCACATGATCTTTTCCTCTAAAGGTTACTGTTAGGTTTCTCTGGCAGCCAGGTTGGTAAATTCCTTTTGCCCAGAGGATCTTTGTTATACAACTTCTCCAATTTTTGGGGTCCAGTCGGATCTGTCCTGTAGTATCAGATTGCACTTGGTTAGATCAATCTACTACTTCCTTAATCGGGATTTGCCAAGCCGGTTTCAGTTCTTCAGGCTACCGTAGGTCTTACTCGATTAGGATAACTAATTGTGAGTTTGCACTGCCTTATACTGGTTTGTATTCCTTTATACAAGACTAATAATGCTTATAGAAGTAACAAGAAAAGGGCTAATAAGAATTATCCAAAAAGGCTAAGTAATGTAATTATAACTAATTTTGCAAAGTTGCAAAATAAATATATACAAAAACCAATATATTATAAATATATTAATAGAGGTGGCAAAATAAAAAAGCAAAAATTGTAGATAATTCTAATAGATATAAAAAAAGTATTTGATGTAGCTAACTTTGAAAAATTGTATTTAGCTACTAAAAGAATTAAAATATCAGAAATTAAAAACTTTTTACTTGTTTACAAATAAAAAAGTAAAGGTAATTATAAACTTTGGTTCTAGCTAAAAACTTCTAGACAAAAAGAAAATTAATTAAAAAAAAGTAATTTTTTTGCTATTTTGGTAAATATATTTTAACTTATTGCTATACAAATTGCTTAAATATAAATATGAACCAACGCCTCGTGGTGCTGGGAGACATGGATGCATTTGTGTTATTGTGTCTTTGAGCATCAAGTTCTATTTTGCTATTTTTAGAATTGAAAAGATCATATCAATTTTCTATTTTTTAAAAAGTATTCTTTCTTTTATTATTGTATTTAGAAAATTTAGCAAGCACCTTGTTGCAGTTTTTCTAATATATATATTAGCATATTCTTTTTTTCTAGCAATAGCAAACTAATAATCTAATTAATATTTGTTTTTTGCTACCTTTGTATAGTCTAGGAAATCACGTGAACTGTTTCAATTTTTCAACTGTTAAAATTTTTTATTTTCAAAAAACTGCCCGGTAGCTTTATAGAGCTATATAAAATCACCAGCCAGTTTTTTGAAAAACCTCTTATGTAAAAAGTTTTAGTAGTTTGAAAATTGATATTAAAATATTTATAACTTTAAAAAAAGAAGTTTAAAGCGCTAAAATTTTTTACGAAGGTATTATTTTAAAAATCTGACTGGTAACTTAGTAGAGCTCATCATGAAGAACAAAATCACCGGTCGGATTTTAAAAACTTTGTCTGTAAAAAGGTTTAGCGTTTGAAAATTATTGTCTAGCATAGAAGTTCTGCACCATATCTAAGTTTGATAGGTGATTATTAAGATATTTTTTGCATAAATTTCTAGAAAATTAACGCGACTTGAAAACAATTTGGTTTTTTAAATAGTAACAAATTTGAAACTGGGCACATATTCTCCTATTGCACGTTACTAAATCTGAATTTAATTTGAATAACCAAGAGGAGCATAGTTGGTAAGGTATTTATTTAAATAATAAAATATTAGCGAAAGAATTTGTCTGCTTTCTTATATATATAAAATATTCAAACATTTGAATATGACAACATTGTATATTACATATAAATATGTATCCATTCACTAGTCATCAAATAATTAACATCTGGACTAACTATACAGTAGAAGGAGGTTTATAGGAAGTGGGGGATTGATAGGAAGTGGGAGATTGATAGGAAGTGGGGGTAATAGGAGATTGATGGGTAGTGGGAGATTGATAAAATTTACGACTAAAAGAACTAGCAATAAAAAACAAAAGACTAACTAACATGCCACCAACGAAACCAATTGCGTCATTTTGGAAACCGACCAATAATCCCGCTGTTATAATCATTAAAGTGAAATCCCTCTTTTTTGTCTCATCGTCATCACTATCAGAGTCCGAATAATTTTTTGCCGCTACAGATAGCTCAGTTCCAGACACAAAGAGCATGACACCGAGAATTGATAATGGGAAATAATTTAAAAGGCTTGTTAAAGTCCTTCCAAATAATATTCCCGCGAGTAATTTCAACAGTCCAAGAAACAAAATGCTAACTTCGGTTCTTGCACCAAAACGGTACTGGCCAGCCAGTCCACCTGAGCCATGACAATAAGGAATCGAACCGAAAAAACAACCAACAATATTCATAAGTCCGATGGAAACCGAAATTTTTTCAACAGTAACCACATGAGACCATTTAGGAAATAAATCTTCAGCTAATGATGCCAGTGCAATGACCGAATTGAGAGCAGTTAATGGGAGCTGACCGAGAGAAGCACTGAGAAAACCATTTTTGAATTCGGCTGAAGTAGGGACAACAACTTCAGGATAATTAAATGATACAGATGGTAAATTGCTCTTATTATTGGCGGTAAAGACTTTTATTAAGGCGATAATTAAGCCCAAAAAGAACAGAATTAAAGCAGTTGGTACTCTTCGATATGTATAAAAAATAAATACGAATATAAAAGAGAGAATAACCCATTCATAATTATCACTCCATTGCCAAGAACTACCACCCCAACTACTACGTTGTTGAACAAGAGCTGCAGCTTTAATTACGAGTGTTAAACCTGCACCCATTTGAATACCTCTAATTATTGAGATCGGAGTCCATTTTCCAACTAAGTAAATAGTCCTAGTGACTCCAAGAAAAAATATCATAGCACCAACACCAATACCTGCGGACATTACTTCACCTATTGTTAAATGTGCTGAAAGAGCCACCGCTGCGACAGCTGTTATATATATATGCTATTTAGATATTAAGCCTTTTTTTTATATTGCAAAATAATTGTAACATGTAACTACCTTTCATAGGTTGAACACACATGGGAATTCGAAAAATTAAGCCACTAATGATATTCCAAAGACCTCCAAATATAAGCGATGAGGTTAAAGAAACTTGACCGGTGATTGCAAGAGACACCAAAATCGGTAACAAAGTGCCTAAATCTCCAAGGCTGCCACTTAATTCTGGTATTGATACATTTTTTATGATATATTTTGTATAGAGAAAAGGACTATTCCACAAGGAAGTATCGCGTTTTGAATCCGGTGGATCCGCTGGTTCTATAACTTGAATAATTTCATGAGAAGACATTTTTAACTTTTTATGTTGATAATATTTCTACGATCATTTTTGATATATAAATTTTTTTTGTAGTTTTCAGTGTAACGACACCGTGCTGGTCCTACTTTAATATAGAAATTTTATCTTAATCGTTTTTTAAAATTGGTAATTACACAATATTGATAATCTTAATCGAACATACGTACGTACGTACGTATGTACATACGTCGATATACCTTTTATTCTTTTAATTCTAACGATATACCTTTTAGATATAGACGATTGATTCACTGATTTGGTGGATGCGCTAACTTTAAATGGAAATTATAAACAAAAAGTTCAGGTTAAAATTTCAATTAAACCGTTAACTAATTTAATTTAATCTTCGACTCTCGGCATAGTCTCATAATTTTGAGATTATCGAAGTATACAAACTAAAAAATCATTTATCGACACATGTAATTCAATATTTATTACCAATAAATTGGATCGCTTTGTTATAAATATTTGTGTTGTGCAAAATAAAACCTGTAGTATAATCACACCTGAGAATCCCATATCCACTGTACGAGGATGGCGCTAAGTGGTGTTACGACTATGTTTGTAAATTTCAAATTTTGATGTAACTTACAAACAATTTTTATATCAAAATTTCAAGTTATTATGTAAGTTATAACGTAAATTTACGATCTGTCTGACTATTTACGGCCAATTTTAGCTTTAGGTCGTATTGTTATTAATATCGGGTGATCGTGTGAAAAACTTTATTTTATATTACAGGAGCGACCGTCGATGTTACACGACTGACTTTTCACCCGGTGTGCAACATATAAAAAAACTATTTTACAAT